CCAGGGGATGCTGAGGTTGGGTATTAGGAGAAATTTCTTTACTGAGAGTGGTCAGGCATTGGAACAGGCTGCCCAGAGAGGTGGTGGAGTCACCATCCCTGGAGGCATTTAAAAAAATGGGTAGACATGGCACTTTGGGACATGGTTTAGTGGTGTTGGATTGATGATTTTAGAGAGCCTTTCCAACCTTAGTGTTTCCTAGTTTTTACTTTGAGGTTGGGTATTAGGAGAAATTTCTTTACTGAGAGTGGTCAGGCATTGGAACAGGCTGCCCAGAGAGGTGGTGGAGTCACCATCCCTGGAGGCATTTAAAAAAATGGGTAGACATGGCACTTTGGGACATGGTTTAGTGGTGTTGGATTGATGATTTTAGAGAGCCTTTCCAACCTTAGTGTTTCCTAGTTTTTACTTTCATTAAAAAATTAATCCAGCCACCAAGCTGAACATGAAACTAATGAAACTAATATGAAATTAATTATTGAAATTAATATGACTATTAATTTAATATGAATTTAATAGGAAATTAATTATTCCTCTACCCTTAATTGGTTTAGTGGTGGACTTGGTAGTGTTAGGTTAATGGCTGGACTTGATGATCTTAAAGGTCTTTTCCAACCTAAATGATTCTATGATTCTGTTATTTCCTGTTTTTCACTGAGATAGTGGAGAAACAAGAAAAACCCCACTGAGAATCATCAGACAAAGTCCAACTACATAAACCAGTAATAATCTAGCTGCTCCTATGGAACAGCTAATAACCATCATCTGATAGCAGGGCTATCATCATCCCTCCATAAAAGATGATGTAATTCATGTAATTACTTTGTGCAGATGAATATGTATAAAATCGTAAAAAATATGAAATACTAAGTAATGAAAACTCAGGGGAGACAGAATTTACAAGAACACATAGAGAAGTGGGCTTTAAGATCAGACAGTGTAAAATGTAAGATCCAACAGGTCTCATGTCAATAATAAGTGGTTACACTATTTTTTTTTTTTTAAATAAGAGACAAGGAGATACAAATATCTCTTATAAGACCAATCTGTAACAACAGAATCTGCCAGCAAAGCGTGTTGGCTTCCTCCTCATGCATTTTATTCTGTCTTTATACCACTGTTCCACCAAGAACAGCACAGAAAACTTTACTCCCCCAAGCCCCAAGAACCAAACTTAAGGCAGTCACCTTCCATGACTTTCCCCATTTTTTTTTCCCTTATCTAGACTTGTCCAAAGAGAAGCAGCTTGTACTCTGTCAGCTGGAGAAAGGCAGGACAAGAGAAAGCAGAAACAAGCAGATGACAGTGCAAACTGATCACATTTCACATAGAATCCACACCAAGGAGTGATTACACTGTCTGCAAGTGCTGGGACTTGGAAACCCATGTTTTCATTAAACCTGTGTGTGAAGCAAGGACAGCATAAAACAGACACACACCTTTTAGTTTTCTCTGAAAGCATCCATAAATGTAATATCACAGTTGCAGAACTTCTTTTATTTCCTTTATGTCCTCCATTAGAATTCTTTCTTGCTTGAAATTTGACAGTAATCATAACTCAGTTAAAAACAGTCCTTTATTTTTTCTGTCAAGCTGGGAGCAGTAGGAAAGAATACACAAAACTGATCCATAGGGATAAGAAAAAAAAAAAGTAACAAAATATTTTTGACATTATTTAGAAAATGTATGATCTATAAAATCCAATGATCCAGAAGGCCCGCCCTAGTACACTGCTTCAAGGGGCAAGCAACGTGTATCAAGAGTCTTTTAGGTCCTTGATATCCTTAGGAGACCACGGATGCGTCTAACAAGAGCTTGAATAAAGGTGTATCGTGACCGAACCTTAGAATATAACCCTTCGATGTCCAGAAGCTTCTTCTGCAGAGATTCACCAAAGCTGTTCGTGGCTTCAATCTGAAGCTGAGAAACAAGAGATTTGTTGCAGTCATCAATACAAAATCTTCTCTTCCCGGAATGTCAGCTTATCCATCATCAACTACCTGTCAACCCTTTCACTATGATTTATGCTCTAAACCACTCTCAAAAGTATGCTTTTTTCCCGATTCCCCTAATAAGTATTACTTGAATTCTTCCCTTATGTTTTTCTCTCTAAATTATATAATGGATAGCCTTTCTATGGAGGTTTTTTGGGCCACTCAGAGCATTTACAGTTTATCCAATTAGCACCTAACAACCTCTCCAAGTATCAGGAATTAAATTCCTGTTTTAAGAATTAAACAGTCTTATATAACTGAGCTTCTTCAGTTGTAGTCATACAAACACTTCTTCCAATTAAAATTTTCCTAGTCCTTTAAGGACTATTTAGGAGTTAATAGTCCATGTGCATAGACAAGATTTTTTCATTAATACATATGTAAACACATATACAAAAATACATATGTAAACAATCCCTGAAAAAAGTAATTACACTCTAAGTATTTTAGGAAGCTGTTACTCTATATTTTACTTTTGAACAAACGAAATAAAAAGACAGATGCCTCATCACAAAACCCACATACAACCGTTCTTATAATTCTAGATGTTATAAAAGTTCTTGAGACTGCACAGGTTTTTTCTGCACAAACGGTGGTAGAAATGTCAGTGGGATTTATTAATAAAAATTATCTTTTCTTCTGCCACCCCTGCATGAAATTTACACAAACTATTAAATCACTGTGTAAGCAGAAATCACTTCTTTGCTAACATTCACATTTTACAGTCTCCTCAGTCTCTGCTACCCTTTTCGATCTCATTTCTCTACAGCTTAGCTACAGCTAACCTTTAGTAAACAGTATAGGATCACAGAAAATTGGGAATCCTGCCCTCATATTGCAAGTCTTTCGAGGATAACTGAAGTTTTCAGAAAGCTATTATTAAAAAATACATACCATTTGACTGGTTTATAAGAGGAAAAAGATGATTTTTTTTTTTTAAGTCTAGCTCATTTTTCATTTAACTTTCTGTATTAAGACCTGAAAAAATGTGTGCAGCAGCACAACTGCTACCTGCTTCATAATACTTTCCAAAAAAATTTTGCAACATTTCATTCATCCTAAATTAAGTTATATCCTGTTGCTGTTAGCACAGGTTGTTTAGAGGTGGGAAAACTACAGTCAGACTGCTCTCAATAGCTGTATGGTGATCAAGCGCATTCTGTACTTTTCAGTAGACTTGTCAGATCTCACCTGTTCTATATCATGCTGGCTCACTCGATTCAGTCCGCTACTGAAATCCAAGTGAGGCTCTGAACCAAAGGAATCTAGTGGTAGAAAACAAGACGTTAAAATTATGTTGGCTGCTCCACACTATCTTCTCCACATCAAGTTACAGAACCAGTTTAAAACGCAGTGTTCCAAATTGGTCAGTAAACTTGTGCATTAGAAATGACACAATTTTTTTGACTTAAATGATTTAGAGAAAATATGTTAAGTAATAGCCATAAATAATTTTGATCACACAACATGGCACTTTAAGCAAAAAGCTCCTCCCCAGATCTCTTCTCCCTACTTCCTTCCACTCTTAATTTTTTTTTTTTAAACCAAAATTCAAACAAACTTAAAATCTTCTGATGAATCAATGGTGCCTACAATTCTAAAAATACTTTTAAAGCCTCCAATATTAATTTTAGTTCTTAATTTCATCTTAGATTATTATATGGAAATATTTTCCTGTAAATTGTTTTGAATCACTGATCTGATTACATTATTTGAACTTCACTTGTTTTGAACAACAGAAATAAAAAATACAGTTAATTTTACTTTTCTTTGGAGGTTATGTGTAATAGACAAAACCCCAAAATCTATGACTCAACAATATTTGTATTGCCAACTCTCCGGTGGAAAATCCAAAGGTATGCCAAATTCAAACAAAATCTCTTGTATTAAATATAAATGACAAAATATTAATAGTAGCAAATCAGTTTTAAAGTTAACCATCAGAAGTTATTCAAAGGCACTTTGAGAAATTTCACCTTGCAGCCTTCCTTTCTTAAACGACATCCTGGAGGACAGCAGTGTGTCTTGGGAGTCAGTGGGCGTGCAATGCAGTAGATAGTGTTCCAGATGACGCCAAAGAATGAAGAGACATGTTTCTATAATATCTGTAGACGCATCTAAGTGAAGGAGTCTAATTTTGTTGTCTTCAGATTGTACATTTACTATATGAGCACATTTACACACTTTGAAGCATCTGAGGATGTTAGCTCAGCCATCTGTCACCTCCTCCAGCAGAAGCTTCTCACCCCCATCGCTACGGCCAGGTAATGGATCGCTTGCACTCTCCTTACACAGCGCAGTGCTGGTTAGGTTACTTCCCTGACTGCTACTCACCCTGAAGAGGGTTTAAACCAACACTCTGCACCAGGGCAGAATGTGAGGGCTCACCTGAGTTGTAATGACAGCTCAGTTGCAGAGACAGTGAATTAAAGCTGAGGTTATAAAGCTGGGGATGGCAGTAACATCTTAAGTTACAACAGGTAGGTCTGCAAGAGCACATCTTTCCCAAAGTAGGTTTCAGAGGAAAATTCTGATCCGCTGCAGACAATTAGTTTCTATGTGACTAGGTATTTCCATAGAATTACTGGTGTTTATGAGATTAGGTTTACGCAAGGTTGACTGTAAGACTGGAAACTCCAGTTGCTCTGATAGGCACCTCAAAATTATTTTTCAAAATATTTCTTCCACCACACTTGCGAGTGTGTGTTGTGTGAATGTTCAGTGGGTCTGGATACTGAATTGAAGATTCCAATGTAATGTTGCAGAAAGTCCTAGCAGGGTCTCCATGATGGAAAATATTTACATTCTGACAATAGCAGAACAATACCCTCTTACTAATTTAGTTTTTGGTATTTCACACTTCCTTTTTGCAAAAAGCATTGTTTGAAGTGGTCAGAAATCTACGTAAAAAGAACCTGCTCCTATTTCTCTGCTTTTCTGGAGTATCACCTTGAGGGTCATTTCAATTTTAGAAGGATACAAGAACAGAGAGAAAGCAGCTTGGCTCGGTTGTTTATTAGCTTCACCAGGCGTCGCCTTGCCAAAACATATTTTTGGGAAGTGGAGATTTTGTCAACCCCAGCTGGCATAACTGACTGACACAGCTGTGATAAGAAGAAGAAAAACAAGAAGATTGTAGCAAATCACAGACCATCAAAAGAAATAAGCAAATAAAATTACTTATCAATATCTAGAACTTCCTTGTCAGCTACTATTTCTTCAAAACTGTGCTCTCTATTTTGAATTCGCATAACCTTGCTGACCAAAAAATGGTGAAATTAAACGTATCCCCAAACAACTATAATGAAAATCACAACTTTTACAAAGTTAAGCCCAATATTTTCCCTGAAGTTTTACGTCACTCATTCTATGGACCCCTTCATCAACAGTAGAAATGAATACGCACAAGAACCGGAACTATTTACTTATCTAAGATGCTTTGGAGTCTCTGTCAGAGCTACATCTAAGTTACAAACAATACAGAGACTACAGAATCAGAAGAACTGTTACCTCTTTTATTTCATCTGGTGGGAGTTGCTCCACATTTTGCAATTTGTTAACACTCTGGCGATGGCTATCATAGTAACTGAAGAAATCACTAGTGCTCTGTTTCAGCAGGTAGACGATAATGCCTAAGCCAGGCAAGTGCCAGTATGGGACCACTGGTGCTTGTGTATCTAGAAAAGATGATGAACAAGTTATAATAAATTTTAAAAAAAAAAATTAAAAGAGCAAGAAATCAGTAAGGTATGCTCTCTGTCAATAAAATAGTAAAAGACATGAAAGCACTGGCAAGTTTGTATTTTATACTTCTGTGTCAGAAGTAATACAAATAAAAGCCTAGGCAAAAAGTTCTGTGGCTGCAGTACTAGAAGGCAGTCAGCATAGTACAGTACTGAGTGTAACACATGAAATGTAACTAGACCAGAAGACTTACTATTTAAATATTTTAACCACTTGGCTGCATAATAGCACACTCTAAACTCTTGACATGTGGCCTAATGAAAATTTCCAGTCAGCACCAAACACATCTTACATGTCATAAATAAGGTCCCAGTTTCACATAATATAATCCAGCACAGATGCCGAAAAAAGAAATCCTCACCTTCCCCTGTCTTGTGCTATTTATTTACATACTTTTTTTTTTTTTTACTGATATATGTATTTGAGGCTGCCATGGGAAGTGAATTAAAAAGGATTTTTGGTCACGTTTGTTTTAACTTGGATTAGTTTCCTGATTTGGCTTAGTGCAAAGCTGCGCAAGCATGCGTTCCAGAATTAGAAAATGGGGAGCTACAGGACTGGCATAAAGTGACTTAAAGTGTACGTGAAACTACAGCCTCTGGTTCATTATTTTATACTAGCCCGAATGTCACACCATTCAGTCTCATAAAATAGCAAGCCAAAAATCTCACCCTGACGAGGGCCATCTCGGTTGGTTGATTCTGACAGGCTAGGAGTAAACAGACAAACAGCGTGCTGAAAACTGGGAGCGCTTTGCAACATAAGTGATTCACAGTATTCCATCACGTTTGCACAGATCTGCCAAAAAAAATGACAGCATGTCAGTTACAATACCTACAGGCGTTGGAGCATTAAATTTTAAATGGATAAATGTCAATAAACAACATGTTTTGCTCCCTCTCTTCTCAGCAGAATGCGATGATTCTCTTTTCTGATCAGTTACAGCCTCTCTTCTATTTCAAGTCTGGGACCTGCAACCTTGCCTCTTTCCCAAAGCTGCTTGTTAAAATTTCTGGTCAATTTTAAGTCCCTTTTGGATCTAACTTAGTGTTAGCCATTGCCCTCTATACGCAGCCTTCATTTCAAAAATTTCCGATCAATTTAAGGCTTCGAAGTTCACAGAGTTTGTACTCAAAACAATAATGGTTGCTAATGCAAATTTAAGTAACCAAATTTTCAAGGTGTACTTTAAATAGAAATGGAACGTGGGAAATAAAACCAGTGTAGAGCATTACCGCTATCTTATGAAAGAAAGCACGGCAACTAAACAAATCTGCACAGCAGGTAAAATATCGCAGTTTGAGACTGAAAGTTCTAGCAGCTTCTTGTGTCCTTACCTGCTGCATGGCCAACTCAGTTTCATCCCTCTTGTTCACTCTGTCTCCCTCTGCGTTATCATCTTGCAGTTTAAACTGACGTAGTCTGTCTGAACCACCAAACCGACTTAGAAGTCCTAAACACTGGCGCTGCCATAAGAAATGAACATTTTAATTAGTGTCTCAACAAATGAAGTGTGTGATTCTTTTCACTTGATACATATCCCATAAAACATAATAGGAAGAGAGCAATGCAGATAAAACTTCTAGCACTTTGTAAATGAAATTTAAATTTTTAAAATACAATATTTTGATTCACCTTTAATTATTTTAAAAATTAATGGCACCCTAAACCAGTTCCTTGAGAAATGAATGCAATTCAAAAGTGCACAGCTTTGTCTTATATCTCTTCCAGACTATTATACTGACTAGCATCAATGACAGTTTAGGTTTACCTATTCCCGCCTTTGCCTATATAGACAAACTAACAAAATCTGGATATGAAAATAATAAGCTCCATAAAAACAGAGTGTAAAACCCAATTCAATAGTTTCATAAAAAGAAGTAACAATCAATACATTTTTTTGTACTTTACATGTGGCTGTTAAGATCACCAAGTGCCTCAGACTATAAGCCAGTTTTGTGTGGAACGGCAAAAAAAAGATATCAAAGATTAAAGATTTTTTGGGAATTACTTTTGGGGAAGAGTAAAAGACTTAAATCCTTTTATTACTTGATGAAAATAACAGGACAAACTAGAGAGAAAAGTGACAATAACAGATGACTGACACAGTAAAACTCTGTATAACCAAAAAAAAAAAAAAAAAAAAAAACTTTTTAAAAAAAAAAAAAAAAAAAAAAAAAAAAATCTTTCTGCTGTCCCGTGGGAATTTCTTGCTGACATGATGCAGCAGAATGCTGAGTACCCCAGCATTACAGCAATCACTTACAGCTTGCTACTTTTCTTCAGGATGGTCAGCCTAATAGTTACTATCAAAGTGTCCAGAGAACACATCCTTCTCTTGCAACCAGGAGTGTTTGATAGGGCAGCCCTTTGTACAGATAGTTTTCAGTGAAATATTTCTCTATGAAGTCCTTGCTCACACGAACCACAAAGCTTCAAAAACATTGCCGGATGCTGAATGCGGAGCTGTATAGAGGTCTGCAATGATAGCTTTTGAGCAAGACTTACTCTATCTTGGCTTTCATTCTCATTTCTAAGTCAGGGTTATTTTTAAAAGGGGAGGAAAGAAATAAAACACTAGCATGTTTGATACTCCAAACTGTTGAGCTAGAGACGTGCTTGTGGCAAAAGTGGTAACAGTATTTCTGCATTACTTCACATGCTTCGGTGTTGGCCTCAAATTCTTCCTCTCCACATAAAGTGAATCCTAAGCCAGGGATGGAAACAAAGTCCCTGATGCAACTCTGATGTTGCAAAATGTTATCTTTTCTACTTGGGGAGGCAGGGGGGGATGACCACCACATCCAACCCAAAAAACCAAACCACCAAAAACACACACCACACAAACCACCACACTCACACACAAACCACCCCCACCCCCCAAAAAAACCCAAACCACCACACATTCTTCTTAATGGTGGAAAACATCCCTTTCGTAACTGCAACTAGTCAAGAGTACAAAACCGAGAAGAAACTCATCTACATAAACAATTCTAAAAGGAGAAGTGTTAAATATACAACTTTATTACCTGAAATCGGCCTATATGCCCTTGCAGCTCCATCTGTGTCCCTTCATTAACATCAATGTCCAGCTCACTTAGCACTCCTGATAAAAGATATAGCCATTAACTGTTTTTTTTTTTCAAAAGAAAACAGATTTATGCTGTATATACATTTAAATTCAAGCACCGATGAGAAAAATTTCAGCCAAACATACAAGTTATATTTTGCGCATTGTTTGAGGAGAACATTCAGATATGAATGCAGCTCCTAGGAGATGCACAAGAGCATGTAGCTTACTGTCCTAAGTAATTAAAAGGTGGAACGGGGAGGAAGGGAGGTTAGCATGAAAACTGCAGCTGTTGTGCAAAGCTCAGTATACTGTAAGCAAAGAAACATTTGGGCTCAACCAACCGCTCTGCACTCCTTTATATTGTAGTCAGACATCTCTCCTGAACAAAGAAAGCCATTAAATCAAAATAGAGATATTATTTTGAAATGGCAAGCAAGTCTTCTAGCATGCTGTCCTGGTTTCAGCTGGGATAGAGTTAATTTTCTTCCTAGTAGCAGGCATAGTGCTGTGTTTTGGATTTAGTAAGAGAATGCTGATAACACACTGATGTTTTAGTTGTTGCCGAGTACTGCTTATGCTAGTCAAGGACTTTTCAGCTTCCCATGCTCTGCCTGGTGCACAAGAAACTGGGAGGGGGCACGGCCAGAAGAGTTGATCCAGACTGACCAAAGGGCTATTCCATACCATATGACGTCATGCTCAGCCCGTAGTCACATGTGCCAAATTAAAAAGCTGGGGGGGGGGTTGGCCGGGGAGCAGCGATCGCCGCTCAGGAACTGTCTGGGTATCGGTCGGCGGGTGGTGAGCAATTGCATTGTGCATCACTTGCTTTGTATATTATTATTATCGTTATTATCATTATTATATTGTTATTATTATCATTACTATTTTACTTTATTTCAATTATTAAACTATTCTTATGTCAACCCAGGAGTGTTTCTCATTCTTACTCCTCCGATTCTCTACCCCATCCCATCGGGATAGGGGGAGTGAGCGGCTGCGTGGTGCTTAGTTGCTGGCTGGGGCTAAACCATGACACATACAGAAGAAATCACTATACCCATCACAATAATTATTAGTCTTCTGTGAAGATAAGTCACCCAAGAGAAATGTCAGTATGCTAATCCACAGTGCTTCTCCCTGGAAGCTTTCTTTTTCAAATAAATAAAAATGGAGAAGACATTAACAAAGAAATGGGTATGCAAACAATTTTCTGTCTTCATTTCCTCATAGAATTTGCTGAATGAATATTCTTTTTGAAGATACCACATACACTTTGAACACTACTATTTGCAAGTCATCTCAAAGACAAAAAGTACTTACTGTCAGGTAGCATAATGAAAAGAAAATGGGAAGTCAAATGCATATTGACAAGGGCACTATGTCCACTGCAAATCCACCATACTTACTTCAAGAACAATTATTTAATGTTTCTTTATTTTTCCCAGAGCTCTACATATCAAGAAAATTCTGTATTGTAGTAGATATTCCCTTATATGTCTTATGTCCTTTATAGGAAACAAAGTCTGAGACTCATGCAGATGGGGTTAAGAGACTTCAAAACTGCAGTTCCTACCAGGCAAAGCTGCCTTGCTGATTATTCCTGTCAGGGAGGCCAGCTCCTGGAGAGATCCAACACTAACATCTTGACACCTCAGGATTGCCTGGATAGTATCTGAATGGGAAATTAGAAACTGCAGAACCTGTACCACAAGAAGAAAAGGGAAAATATGAATGACTCAAAATTTAGCAGTGAGCAGAGAGGAAGCAATGTTTTTACTTTTGGAGAATTTTAAAGTGATCTCCCATACCAGTGAGGATGGGATTTTTAAAAAAGCTTACTTTCAGAGCAAAAGAACACATAATTTCTTTCAGTGAGCAGTAGCATCTTTTAGAACTTACCTGTCCTGCTGCTTGCAGGTGTTGTGCCATGCTGGATGTGAGGATCACTTGGCAGAGTTGAAGAGCTGGAAGAAGAATCTGGCGATAACGTTCCACTGGAGCCGGAATGAAGACTGGGGGATCTCTCATTCCATACATTCTTAAGAGGTTTAAACAAGGGGGGGGGGGGGGGGGGGGAGGGGGGAAAGATGAAAGGTAAACAGTGCAAAAGAAGTGAAGCCCACCAGCAAGGCAGAGCCTCAGCCTACAATCACCCCTCAAGAACCTGCAAACATTCGTTTTTCAATAATAGGTCTGTACTTGAACTAAGTTTATATTAGAAAAGCAACAAATTTATGATACACACCTGCTGCAATTTACCTAGAAAGCTGCTGCCAGACATCTTCTCTAAGCAGAGAAAATTACTTCTTTGTACTATACTATATTAAATCAGATTACTTTGTTGTAGATATATAAAACTAAGTATTCTCAAATATTTTAGGAAGAGGTGTGCTTAATTCTAAAGCAACTGGCAAATACAGTCCTCTACAAATGCCCTGTAGGCTTCATACAATCTTATACATCTCACTGGAAAAAATTAAGACTTAGACAAGTATTCTGTTTAAAAGCACCGAAGTGTTTGAACCCCCAGTGTATCACTAAGAACTGTAAATTCAAAGCAAGGACCGATGTTTGAAATCAACCAAGGTGATTTCCCCTGATATGCAATTTCCTTCTCTGAGATCTTCTCTCAGTCATCTCACAATGACTAACAACATGGCAACATATCAAAAAGCTTGTCAAGCAATATATAACTGTGATTTTATTTTTTTTTTTTAACACATGATAAAAATTCTGAAATAACATTTACTTCACTGCTCTCTCATTAGTGCTTTAAGTGGGGAGGACAAACTCTGCACTTTTTGTTCACCAACTGCAAAGCCCCCAAAATAAGGTTACAGTGTAGGTTGTTTTTCAAACATTACAGTCTAAATGATATAATAATAATAATAATTAGACAATTCCTATCTAAGGTATGGAACAAATAAGATCTTACATAGTCTAAGTAACTGGACAACTTCACACCCACTTATTTGGAATTTTTCTCTCACTAAAAGGTAGTTTTAAACTGAACTGATAGGTTAAAGAAACACACACAGACACACACAAAAAGAATATACCCACAAATACTTATTTAAAAGACTTGTGGCTATAAAAAGACATCATATGCTTCCAAGACTATATTACAGTTTCAAAATCAGCCAGGGAACCAACACTTACCCTTGATGGTCTGTTTCGGGTCGCATGTCATACACTTGACACTGTGCCAGCCTCACTATCACTCCAGACCGCAACAGCTCTAACGCCCCTTGCTGACTTTTAGCTACTCTAGTGAGGAATGCCTAGAGAAGGGTAGAGAAGGATAAATATTGGAGATACACAATGAGACTTACGACCATTTTCTCTCTTGATTTTAACATAATTTCAAATACTATTATTTTAGTAAAATATCTCTGACTACAATCAATGTGAAGTATGGACAAACAACTTTTATTAAAAAAAACCCAAAAAACACCATACCACAAAATCATTTCTGAAGTATTCTTACCATTTTGGACTCATAGGTGTACAGCGCTTTAAGCAAAGGGGGCTGAGGTGTGAGCAAGCTCTGAAGAGCCAGATCGTCATCTGCTAGGCTATCCACAAGCACCTTCAGGTAGCCGCTATTGGAGAGATACAACAACCACTGCTGCTGCTTGTCTACTGAAACAATACGATCAAGCAAAGCCAATGCCAGCATCTGGAATGGGGGAAGAAAAAACAAACAAAACAAACAAACAAAAAAAGAAAAATCAGAACAGAATTAAATCTGTAAGATCAATGAGATTTCTAACAAATACCTAGAAATACGAAATGCTAAGCAGTTCCTTCTAACAGCTTCTTAAAAGCAGAATGCATTTCTGCACTACAATCGCAATCCTTTATGTGGAAAATATTTTAAGATTTCTTGATGTTTTAGTATAGCATGAGCCAATTACCTTTTCTGTATTATTCTTTAACAGCATATTACAGGTATTGTTGAACAGCAACTATGCCAAAATATTTTAATGAAATACTGCTACAAGCACTATTGCTATTTAAAACTAGTTTGCATTCTGACTAGATTCCTGTCCACTGAAGTTAATATCAGAAACTATTTCTTCCTGAAGTCACCAAACCTTCCCAAACTGGGAAAAGAAACTGGTAAGTCCAGGATTTAAAAATAATAATAAATAAACGCCACAGCAGTTCGTACCTACAATCTTTTGCAGCAGTGCTTGCTACCCTTATTTTTAAACAACAGGACACATAACTTTTTTTGAGAAAAAAATTAGTATGTATGTATGGCCCTACTTTCAACAGCTTGAAGGATGAGTGGGAGGACAGAAACATGAAAGAGATTAAGTATCTACAAAAAACGTTCTAGTTCTACCTCATGAAATTTCCCTTTTCTGCACAGTAGTAAAATGTTCTTTAAAACAAACCGAACAGTGATTGCAAAGGAATAGATTTATTTACCCGGCCTATCTCATGACCATCACAAGCATCACGACAGACCACCTCCATGAGAGCTGCCCCATAACTCTCAATTATTGCCATGTTTTCACGTTGCAATTTACTAAACACATCTTCAGGAGCTGTCAGACGTTCCCACATTGTTTTTTTAGCTGTAAAAAGCAAGGAAAACAAAAAATGAAAAATGCAAAGATGGGCAGCTTAGCATTAGCTTAGCTACATCCTTCAGGGCATTCTCTATCTTGCAATAGAGGTGCCCCAAACAACATATGGGGTTTTTGACTGAAGTGCAAATGTTTTCCTACAAAGCCATTCTTTCCTGAATATCATACACAGGCCAACTGGCAAAAAAATTATGTGTGCCTGTATACATACACCACCCTTGCAAATACATATTCTACATTACATGTATTGAATCTTAGAATAATTTTAAGCAGACTATTAGGCCTCAGAACTTTCATGGGGACCAAACCAGTCTGTTTTGAAGGGAAATAAACAAGGTGACTTAAATGGGAATGGGCTGAATCCAAAGCCAGCAATAAACTACAAAGGGGTCATAACAAAATCAACGGTATTTTTACTACTATAGCTCAAAATGCTGATCAAGTAATAGCAGTAAGAGCCTGCATGCACAGCTACTAGCCCAAAGTTTGTTTTTCAATCCCTGTCCAAGCTCTGAGATGAAATAATGATTAGAAACACTGACAAATCAAGTATTTAAGCCACTAACAGACAGAGTGTGATATTCACCATAGGCTCTTGTGGTTAAGCAGCAACTCTGGGTGGCTTATTTTTGCTTATTTTTTGGGGGGTAGGGGTGATCCTTTTTTGTTTCTTTTCTCCCTAGGGGTCCTCAGCTAAAGGAACAGAAATAATATTAAACAATCTTTGGGTTTGGGTTGTTTTTTTTTTTTAAATAGGATCACTGTGGTATGAGTGTACATACAGACGTGCAGGCAATACATTTCTACAGCTGTAATTGTTCTCAAGTAGGTCTAAGTAACTTCCAGTCCTTTGACAATTTTGTAGCTATGATGCATAGCTTTAAATGGACACAAATGAAGTATCTTATTTAGTGCTGGATACATCCTCATCCAGAACAATAAATTTTGAATGCATATGTAGCTATACAGGTCAGAATAGAGGAAGATTTGCATCATGTAGTATAAGCAACTACTTTCAGAGGCTCTTGGAGTAAGATGGTTTCTATCTACACAGTCTATTTCCAGCAGACAACTCAGCATGCAGAAACTGTACCATTCAGGGTTAAATAACATTTTTTTTTTTTTTTTCTCTTTTCCATAATACAGTTGGACCATACCTGCTTCTAAAGTGTCTGGTTCATCTGGTCTCTGGGCAATCTGCAAATAATAAAGGAGTGATCCATAAAGGTGAGTTCTCACTCTCTGGAAGCCACCACCTGTTCACAAGAAACATTCATAATTAAAACCAAATAGATGTAAATTCTGTAACACCATCTTCTACTGGCACTTAAGTTAATTTTCCTATGGCAATGCTGGCAGAAATAAATAAAACAAACAGATTTCATAAGTCAGAATTCTACTGTTCACATAAAAGTGTATTTGTGAGTAAATTCAGCAAGTTTTTCCTGCTCCAAAAAAGTGGCAATATTTACACCTCTCTTCTGCTTGTTGTCCAGACTAAAAAAATAATACACCTTTATTAATTTTTTTTCTTGTTAGTAACATCACTTTTAGATCTATATTAATCATGTAAGATCCACCTAATTGACTATGATAAAAATCCTCACTGCAGTAACAGGAAGCAGCTCGGTCCATATTTCTACTCTTGGCAGTTGGAATTCCCACACATGCACTGCAAAGATCAACACACCTGTTTTCAAAATGAAATCCAGCAGCTTTTTTAAGATGATGTGGAGGGAGGAGTCACCAATGGAAGCAAAACCCATGGATATGCTCTCAGAGTTAGCTGATGAGGTAAAAGAACCATCCAACATCAAGACATATTGGGACGGTCCTGCTGTAGGGAGTGCAAGTGGCTGTTTCTGCTCGGTTTTCACGGACTGGCTCAGGTGGGCAGTCAAGGTGAACACAGCCCCTGCCACCACCGGCATCAATTCCTGAGCTGCATCTTCATCTAGGATCTTAATACAGAAGAAGAAGAAAAAGAAAAAAAAGAAAAAAAAATTAAGTAGAAAAGTGTCTGATTTCATGAGCTATTAAAGCAATTAATTCAGCCTCTCGGCTATTTCATTTATGTATGCATAAGGATTTCATTAACACGGCGCTATTTAAAACTAAATCAGCAGTGTCAGAAACTTGTTCAGAAAGATGAGTTGAACACATTTTAATTGAGAAGACCATTAGCTTTGGTTTTTTTATTTACACAAATCACAGGCAGGATGATAATTAAATCTGCATGGGGAAAAGGGAAGGAACGTGCTGACATATGAGTGGCTTTATTAGTAAAATATCTAAACCTAAGCTAGGGA